TACTTAATTTTCCACGTATCTTACCGAAATTAAGTTCAGCTGTAACATGTTTGAAAACTAATGGATCTAAAGTCGGAAAGTCAAATTCTGGTAGTCCTACAAATAAGTTAATATCTATGTATAATTTTAATATCTATGTTTAGTATCTTGGTTTTAATATCTATCTAGAGGTAGTATGAGGTAGTATGATAATTGTTTTCAGAGCTGGTGGGGGGGGGGGGGGGGGGGGGGGGGTTGAGGAGAGATAGAATCAGTCTATTACCTTTATACGAGATCTGCGAAATCCGATATTTTAAAAAGTTTGATTCGACCGACGAAGACAAGATCGCGATCGATCCAGCCAATAAAGGCAAGGTCGCATTTGCATATGCTCACTTAAATACCATATGTATACAGCTTACAATGGCAAATGTACTTTTGCAGAGTCTTATGTAAATGACGCTTTAAATGTAAAAAAATCGAATTTTCGCATAGATGTAATATATGTAATAATACGTGACCTCTCGCCCCCCCTCCCAGCTATGATAACAATTGTCCACCTCAACCTGAAATTTCTTTGCAATTAATATCTCATTGTAGAGTATTATTTGGCGCACAGTTCAGTCGCAAAATTGAGGATCTAAAATATTCTTTCGCTGCATACAGTGTAAATAAAGAACACTGACAATATTGTTTACTTTGCAAACTATATCATGCATTTCTCCAAGATATTATGACAGATTTTTTATTGATATCTCCTTTCTGGAAATCAATTATGATACCGCTTTATACATATTCACAAGTTTTCTTAGTATCACATAAGGTAAACATATCGAAGTTTTTGTTCTTATGTAGATATATATTAATTAATATATTAAGATATTAATTAATTGATTTCAGTACAGTAAAGTTGAGCATATCACCACAAGCATTTCGTCACCTTTTATTTATTTTCACGGATCAGAGATATCCGGCTAATCTGGTTAATCCGGTTAATCCTGTTCTTTCGAAAACTACAGTTTTCAAGAATTTTTATATAAATAATATATAAATACAATGTATGAAAGCATTGAGTATTTATAGCAGTAGATACTCATCTTTATAGTGCAAAATATATGTATTACGTTCAAGAAATTTGAATGTGAACAAAGAAATCAAAGAATCTGGGGCTATTGAAATTAATAAATAGTGTATATCATCTTGTTAATGTAAGTACCTCAAAGAATTATAAATACTAGTCTATACAAGTACTGTGTTGTCAATAACATAAAAAGATCATTATTGATGCTATGTATGCCGATTTGTAAGACGCAAAAAATTTAATACCTTAGCAGATTAACTTATTTCTTATTCTAATGATATTAAATGATATCTTAATTTTAATTTTTGTAATTTTCTACAAAATAAATTCAATGTAAATATGATATAAAAAAATATACTAATGTGAGTCGACACTAGTTATTCGTGTGTAACGATATATACATATAT